TTCAGTGGTGCTTTGTATAGAAACATGTTCTCAGGAGTTGAAGTGTTTTCCTGTTGTCTCCCCCTGAGATAATTTAACTTATCTTTAACATGAAAAGGCAAAAGAAGAAACTCTGTCATGTGTATGAAAACAGGGAACAGTGGACCAGGGCACAAGGCCTGATGGCTCTGTGGGACTGATCTGGGTGGGGTGTTGGAGTAGGTGGGTTTGTGGGGCAGGGAGGGGGCAAAGGAGTCCAGGGGGTGCTATGGGCTCTGGCCAACATGGTGCAATGCTGGCATTCCCCAGGACAGCCCCTCAACTGGCTCCTGCCCCAGAAGACACTCCATCTTCCTGGCTAGGGGTTCACACCTCCATCTTCCTGGCTAGGGTTTCAAAACAAACCATTTGGAAATGCTGGGGCTGGGCCAAGGCAGGAAGGTCAGGGTGGGGAGGAGGGGACGGGGGCGGGGGGGCTGTGGCTCACATCAGTGCCTTATTGTCACGGAAACTGGGGCCCATCCCACAAAGGCCACAGGCCCCAGGTGGAATAACACAGCCTTGCCCCACCCTGCTCCTGCTCCATGGCCTCCCACAGTGCCCCCTTGCTGCAGCTCCCCCACGAGCTCCTGCAAGGACATCCTCCCAGCTTCTACCCCATGGATTCTTGCCCAGCATCCTTCCTGTGGACCCCTGTCCCTGCCTCTGCCTCATGCCCTGCCTGCATCCCCCATGCCTGCTGTCTCCTGCCTGTGCCAGGTGGTGCCTCCATGCACTCTTGTGGCCTGGGAGTTAAAGGTCCAGCATCAGGGCCCTTATGTGCCCCACATCAGGTCTGGGTGGGGGTGGGGAAAGCTGTTCACCCCCTCACTTCCCCCTTCCCTGCCTTTGCTGGGTTTGTTTGTCCCTGCAGGGCTGGGCTGGGCCTGGCCGTCCCTCCCAGACGAACGGTTTCCCTGCTGTGACTCACGGACAAACACGGAGCGTCTCAGCCTGGGGCCAAGGTGTTGCACCCGCAGGATGGAGGGCGGCTGAGGCAGCTGGGGCACAGGCATGGTCTCGGGAACCTCCGATCAGTCCAAGGAGTGAAGGCCAGGATGCACAGAGCTGGGGTTCACAGCCCCCTGTGTATGCTAGGATGGAGGGGCTGGACACTGGGTGCATCCATCCCTTGTACTCGTAACACTTCACT